GGGAGAGGCCAATGCCCCTGCTGCCCCGCCTCCCTGGTTGCTACGGGCCTCTAGTATACATTAAATATACACACACCAAAATAAAATCTTTAGGTATATCACATATCGTACCTCTTTAAAATAAAAATTTAAGTTAAAAAATTATACCAAAAATGATCAAATGTGGTGTAAGTTGCTACTTTTAGGGTAGAGTGTTCTACTTTAAAGGATATAATCTTAAATGGTACATGTGATATACCTATAAAGGTAGAATTTGTGATAAAACATTAAGGTTATTTCTACTTTTTTAGAGTGTTTTACTGACATATAACAGGTTTATTTTACATGTTTGGTTATAGATTTTAAAATATAGGGGCTTAAAATTGGTAAAATAAGGGTTTAAAAGCGATAAATTAAGGGTTTAAAATCGAGTAATTTATTTTTACGATTTATTATTTAAGAACCATGCTTTTTGATAGAAGAGCAGCAACTTAGCCTTGTGTGTGGTTTCAAACAATCATGGCCTATATGATTTTTTGATGTTTTTAGATATGGTACTTTCACGAAATGTGTTAACTCCAAACTTAAGCATGTTTTTGTCTATTCCAAATGAGAAGCTTTATTAAAATATTAAGAGATTAAAATATTCCTTGGAGAACTCTAAGAGACTGGTTATTGAGAAAGGATGGGTCACCAAAACATAAGTAAGGTCAAAAGTTCAAGTTTCTAGAAAACAGTAAAACCAAAGATGAAACAAAAAAAATTTAGTCTACGAGAAATAGATTTAGCTTAACACGAGAGCAACTTGTGCATAAAAAAAATTTGCCACGTCGTTTTTAGAATGAAACTGGTAGCACCTTTTTTTACTTCATTTGAAATTTTACTTAAAATTTGAACTAAAAAAATATTATACAAAATCAATTTTGTCCAAATATCCAAATGAAATAATCAAATTAGAATAATTATACCAACGAAATAAATAGATATAAATGTTTCAGACAAATATTGGCATGCGGGATTTCTCAGGTGCCATCCTTACGTTGTCCATAGAAACCGTCAAAGTTTGAATTATGGTAAACTAATCCAATTCAATGCGGAAACTGTAAGAAATTTTTACAGTCTTTTGGGCAAAGCCTACGATAAACTCAATTCGACAGACCATTCTGAATTAATTTACAACGATGACGAAATTGGATTGTAATTAACACTCACTGGCACTCGTCTAGATAAAAGTGTAGTAAAACTTGCGTTGAACTGAACATTTTAATTTAATGAAGTTTAAATAATTCAATGAAGTTTAATGAACTTCATTAAATTAAAAAACTTAATGAAGTATAAAATTAAAGATACATAGGATTACAGACAACGTATGCAAAAATATATTAAAGCATTTTTCATCTTTCAGAGAAAGATAATTTCTCTAATTTTTTAAAAAAAATTAAATTATTTACCTGAAAAACTCAACATAAATAAGATGTTTGAAATGTTTAAAAGTAAGTATTAGTAATGATCGCTTTCGCTTATTTATTGCTTTATATTGTTTACGGTTATTTTCGAACAAACCCACGTTCTGAGTGTGAAAAACTGGAAATAATAATTAATGCTTTTTCTATAAAAGTCTCATAACCATATTTTTTTATGATTTAAAAATGAAGCTTAAAAAAAGCTTGAGTTTGATAGAAATTTGCACAAAAAAGCTGAAACTTTTTGTGGAAGAAAAAGAGAAATTGAAAGCGTTAAGCCGTTCAACTATAAGGGCCCCCCTTGACGTGACTGTGAAGATGAGCACAAAAAAACAAAGTTATATCAAAAAGGTTTATAAACAAACCTAATTTTTGAGCAGTATGGTTTGAATAAATATAAATTTTTTTGTTAAGAAGTTTTGCGAAAAACCCTTGTTTTTTTACTTATTACTATTGCATCTTAAAACTACTCCAGCTTGTTAAAGTCATTTAAAACAAGCTAATTATATACGTAAAATAATGTTAAAGAAATAAAAGGTCTGAGAGCCCACTATAGTAATTACGGTACCGAGTGCCAAGATATTTTTGCCAGCTATGAGTGTAGAAGAAGACGGGACAAAACTAAGAACGTTTTGAAATTTTTTGTCACGGCTGCTCAATAGTAGCGCACTTGCCTCAAAAACAAAGGATCAGCTGTCCGAACCCCACCTATGGGCAAGTTTTGCGACATCGGTTCGGAAGGAGGTGTGAACTTCTAACTAAATGCTTATCCGCGTTGCTCTGTGATCAGACCGTTAGGACTTCTTGGGACACCTAAAAATAAACAAAGCAAAAACAGCAACTTAAAATCTAATTGAATCAACTGCGCAATAATATATATCAGAGAAATAAAATTACAAATTAAACAAGATGTCATCAATAGCAAAGAAATTTGTTGAAGTTAAGTAGCACCTTTTGGAATGGGGGGAGTCTTTGACTCTTTTTCTCTGGCTCTCTCTCTCTCTCTCTTTATATATATATATATATATATATATATATATATATATATATATATATATATATATATATATATATATATATATATATACTTTATTTTATATATATATATATATATATATATATAAAAGGTATAATTTTATCCTTATATATATATATATATATATATATATATATATATATATATATATATATATATATATATATATATATATATATATATTTGAGTATAAGATAAAATAACTCAAAAAAAATTTAACGAAATAATAATGTAATAATAAATGTAATAATAAAAGAACCTCAATTTGAAACTGCGTTGAATACTCGAATTGGATTTTGAATTTAATCATTTGTGTAAACACTATAGTCGCCATCGTTAAAATCACCAATGTTGGGTTGCTTAATTGGTAAACATGGCTAGGTGGTCTTAACATGATGATCACATCGTCATATCAATCCTGAATAATGTTACCATTGCTTCCGGAGATATTAGACTTTGATTTCTTATTTTATTATTTTTATTATCTTTTTTGTTTGTTGAAATCTATAAGATCCGTTTTTTTTAAGAAACAATAGAAAGGTGTCCATAAAAAGTAATACCAAAAATGTTTAAAAAATAGAGAAACCTTGTTTGACTGTTACTAGAATATACCTTATAACAATTTTTTATTTTTAAAAATTAAAGTTAATGACATACAAAAAACGTAACGCGTAAAAACTGTTGTTACCATTTTAAATGACACAAAAAAGTGTTTCATATAAAAAAATTGTTTTGTTGAATGAGTAGAACGTAAAATTCAAAGATCAATCTAATCCAGTTGAAAATACTTTAAGCATATCCTATGTGATTAGTCAAAACAAATAAAGAAATAAATTTTGTGTTTAGTTTATAAACTGTTTTGTTTTTACAAGTTTAAAAAAAAAGTTTTTTTTTTTAAATAAAAATTTGTCTAGTAGTTTTACATAGTAATTTTATTTTGGTAGAATCAAGTCTCCGAGATCAAATAATTATACTTTGGTATAATCAAGTCTCTGAGTTACCTTGGTTGTTATGTTGGTAGTTAGGTGTCAAAGTTATGAAAAGAATGCTCTTATTCACCTTATCGGGCAATTCGCTTTAAAGTTTCTTAAATTTATTTATTTCCGCATTCATTATCTTTTCATAATTATTCATAATTAACTGAAAAAACGATTGTTTGTTTTTATTATGTAGCTATTAATAATAACAAAAAACAATTGAGCTATCATTTTCAAAATAATTTGTTAAAAAAATAAAATTCATCTTCTTTCTAAACTTTGCTTTTTATAAATGGTTTTTATAAACTTTAAACCAATAGAACTTTATAATAAATTAATATTTAAATTACATTAATAAAAAAAAAAATATATTATTAATAGTGGTTTGACACAAAGTATTTTAATCAAAGCGCGCTTTAACTATATGCTGAGGAGAGTTCTCTCAAGAGAAAGACGTTTAAGAAAAGAATTATTTTATATGTTAAAATAAACTATAATTATCTGAATATACTTATTATGCTGACATCTTAAAACCGAGTACAATGCTCAAATTTTTCGAGAAAGCTTTCCATTCCAATATGAAAGGTTTAAACCAATTAAAATGATTTTGTAATTAAATCTTAAATAATAAGAAAAATTTTAATTGTTTTCAATAGTTATTAGTTGAAAATCATTTTTGTATTATAAAATAGTTGTTTTATAAAAGCAAACGCATTGCGCGCAAAAACGAAGGACAAATAAACAAAAAAACAAGGCGCCATCTATAAATTACATCTTTTGATTTAAAAGTTGAAAATCGTTTCTTTTGGTTTGATTGACGAACCAGAAATCTTTCACAGTATATTGCCCGGTACAGTTCTATCCTTTTCTGTTGTCTAATTTGCTGGGTCAATTAACCCTTATTTTATTTGTGCTTAACTTACATTTAGCAACTACGCCTTTGTTATAACTATATTTACTATAATGCATATCTGTCAAATACTTTTAATCGACCATAATATAGTACCATATTACATTATAAACGAGTTAAGGCTTAATTCTACAATGCAAACAAAATTTGAGAACAATATAATGACAAAACAATTTGAAAAAGTATCACTTTAATAATCATTTTTACTAAAGAAAATATAAATGCAAATATCACGCTATAAAAAACTTAATTGCTCAGTGAAGTCATTATTTAACTTAGTATATCGAGAGTAAAACGTAGAATGCCAACGGCAGAATATAATAGGCTAGATAAGATAAAATAGGCTAACTATTAAAAACTTTTAAAAGGAATTTGAGACTTTCGTTTCCTTTTGTAGCAAAAATAACTGTGGTAGATTTATATATATATATTTTTTACCGCTTTAACAATCAACCAAACGATTGAATTATTTTACAAAAGGTTGTGTTCTATTGAGACCTTTGGCTAAACTTTTTCGGTATTTCGGTGTTTTATTTTTTTTATTGTTTTTTTTTTGAGGCATGTCTCTCCATTCGGTATAATTTTTTGAGGCTAGTAAAAAACTTCGTCGTATTTTGTATAAATGGACAAAACGTTTTCAAAATATTTCTAATAAAAAGTTTGCAATTAAATTTTAAAAAGTATACTGTTATTTTTGAGTCTGCTGTTGTTGTTTTGGTTCTCGTTTTGGTGAAGCGAAAAAGTTAAAAGGCACGATTTGTTTACACTATTAAGAGATTGCTTCTATTGGTAAAGTCTCACTAATTTTTAGGTTAGTTTACAAAAAAAATAAGATATACTTTTTTTTCTTATTAAATTTGCGAGTCATTTTAGAACGTAAAGTTTAAAAAAAAAAAAAAAAATTGGCTGTTTTTTCAATATTTTACCAAAAGCGTGTCCGAACAAAATCGTAACAACCAATAACTTTTATGAAACAACAAAAACCTCTACGATGGAACCACGCGTTCTATTCAACTTGAGCAAACTAAAGTTTATCGAGTGTATTGCAATAAATAATTCGTTTGCTTATAGATAGTCTGACGAACTCAGATATTTTTCCATTAATTGTGTAGCAATCACGCAGGATTTTATTTCAACGAATCAGGTGAGTAAGTATGTAAATTTTCATCTTTTAGAAAAATAATGTTTTCTCTTTTTAAGCAAATGTTTTTTTTTTCGATAGAGACCGCTATTCAATAAGATAAATTCTATTCAACTCTATACAATCAAGTATTACTATCGAACTTTTAGGCCCCACTTAAATACACACGATTTAAGATAAAACTTTTACTATTTTGTTTTGTTTTTGTTTTTGATTTTTGATTAAAAAAAAAAAAACGTTTCAAAATTGAGAACGGAAAAAAGTTGATAGAAAAAGATATCTATTGTTTTGGTTTCAAAACGGGTCGTTATTTCTACTAATCTCTTTTTTTTCTCCTGCGATTTAGCCTTTGAAATAATCATAAAAAAAGTTTATTTCATGTGAAGGTAAAAAAACAAAACGGGCAATAAAGACTTACAAGTTAGAGTGTGGCCACTTTAAAAAAATAGTCTCGTTGTTTAAAATACACTTTCTATATGTCAAATCATCAAACCATCGAACTTTTTTTTTTTTTTTTTTTTTTTAATGCATACGTGAGTTAAAAAACCCACTTCAAATAGACAAGAATTTTTTTGGTTGATTTTTTTGTATTTAATATTAAATTATTGTAGTTTAATGTTATTGAAAAGTAAAAAAAAAAAAAAGAATGATAAAGAAAATCATTTGCTTAAATAATGTATTAACAATGTATGTACAAATATGATGAAATAATAAAACTTAATTTTTTGTTAAGGCGAAAGGTACAAATAAAATCATCGATTTAAAATGCTAGAGTTTTGTAATTTTTTTTAGTTTCAACGAAAAGTTGTATACTATAAAGTCTAGTTCCTTACATTTTAAGTTTAAGTCAATACATAAGAAATTATCTTTATTAGCAACAAATTTCTTTGTTAATTTGCTGCACACAAATTATACTCTTATTGTGTCGTTTTTTGTTGTTGTTTTAATGGCGTTTCAGCGCTTTTTCAGGAACTTTTCGCGTTTTTAAAGGACATAAAGCACCATTATAGTAATTAATTGTTTTGAATAATGACAAAACATGACTAAAGTAAAAAGTAACGCTTTTAAAAGATCTTGATCAACTTTTTAATTAAATATCAACTTTAACTAACAATCAACTTTGATCGAAAAAAGTTTTTTTGTCGACACTTGTTGACGATACTTTTTGTTGTTGATGTGTTGACGGAATTAAAATTTCTTTAATAGTTTATTTATAAAAAACGTATTTGTTTAGTGTATTGTTTTGTATACGCTCAATTTATTCCAGCTGCGATTTTTTAAATCTGGGTTATAATGGAAAACCTTTCTATGTATTCAAGCATACACGCTTAAATAAAAACTAGGAAATAGACTCTTTAAAAAGTTAAAACTTCAAGAAAACCTCCTTGAACGGTTAAAATCTTAAGAAAATTTCTTTCAGTATATATATATATATATATATATATATATATATATATATATATATATATATATATATATATATATATATATATATATATATATATATATATATATATATATATATATATATATATATATATATATATATATATATATATATATATATATATATTATATATATATATATATATATATATATATATATATATATATATATATATATATATATATATATTATTTATATGTGTGTGTGTGTATGTATGTGTGAATGTATGTATGTATTTTCAAGCAAAGAATAAAACTTTGGGCAAATGTAATAATAGCGCTTCTATAAAATAAAAAATATGCTCGTTAAATAAGCTCGACTTCATTTTAATTAACAACTTCATTTTAATTATAACTCATTTTAATTATAACCTACTTTTAATAATTTTTATTTTATTTCGTAACTATTGCTGTTGTTATTATGAATTTGTTATTTTTCCCGTTTTTTTATATTATTTGCAAGCGTTCTTTTTTCTGATTATCAAATAAAACTTCTAAGTTAGCAAATTGCCTCCCCCCTCTTGGATCTGATCCGCCTCTGACCGATGGGCGTCCCATATGTAATCTTTTGTATTTTCAATATTTTGTTAACATAAATTTTGGCAAACTTTCAATAAATTTTAATGATTTTTTTATAATTATTAAACTATATTTCAAAGTGATTTAAGGTAATATGTGCGTTATCATAGATACATAAAGATGGGTGTAAATATAAGTACACAAAATACAAATATATAATGTCAGAAATAAATTTATTCACACATGCACATAATTATCAAATGGACGCAAAGAGATTGACAAAATAAATAGGATCTAATTAGTTGACTGTTATGTATAGATATCAGCCGCGAATAATTGTGAATATATCGACGGGCTTATAAATATATACTAACGGGCTTATATATAAGTAATGATGAGCTTGTCAGCGCCATAAATAAGTTGAAGAACTCCTTATAATTCTGCGTTTTTCTTGGCTAAATTGCTAACCAATTTGCCCTATCTAATTTTAGGGTTGGCTTTGATACTCAGTGGAGAATGCTTTCCGTAAAGGCCTTTATCTAGTTATTTGAAAAAAAAATAAAACTCCTTAACGCATTTTAGCAAGAAAGTCCTCTTGCAATTGAAAACTGCTTCAGACATTTCTCAGCGGGGACATCTAGTTTCACTTTCGGAATTAGTTCTGCTTCAGACGTTTGTACCTTTAAAGAACGAGTAACTCAAAACCTACTAAAAATGACTTAAGTGAAAACATATATAGTATCTAGAAATGGCTTAAATGAAAACATGGCTTAAATGAAAACTTTTTTATTATTGATTTGCAGTTTAGTCTGAATTAAAAACCTTAAATAAATTTTTTTTTGCAACTTTTTGTTTTTATATATAACGGGGAGGGTTGTCGAAATTGGAACAGCGCCTTAATTTTAACACTTACATTTATTTTTGAAAAAAAATGAATTGTGGCTATATTTTGCATTTTTTTAGTAAAACGCATTATTTTCTACGTTTTGACACATTTTGAAAGTTATTCCTCAAAAATAAATGCGTTTGCACCATTGATTTAGAATTTTTTTGCGTCATTATTTTTCAGTGATCTAATTTAGTGTTCACACTATATTGATTGCGTTGGGTAAACTATGGTGTTATAGGTTATACCGTTTTTTGTGTTTAATTCGATAGGATTTAAAAAATAAAATAACTATATAATCTTATCTTATAAGTTGCTGCAAGCATGTTATTGTAGTAATATAACAAAATAGTCGAAAGTTTCTTTGATTGGAACATTAAAGTTTTCCTTACCTAATCAGTAATAAAATCAAAGCGTTGTAAAAATAGTTCGAATGCAATTAAAAAAATACTTAGTAACAAACATAAACTTTAAAAATATTACTTTATTTAGTGATTTTTAATCAATAAACTAAGAGAATGTCATAATAGTTGAAGCTTTATACAATATTTTGTTTGTAGACTTTAAATTTGTTAGGGTAATACTAATCCTATAATAAATTTTAAATTAACTGTTTAAATTTTCACTGTAAAGATGAAAACCATATTTTACAAATTTTGTTGATTTTACAGTTTTTTTTTTCTTTTTTTTAAATAACCTGTTTTGATTAAGGAATCAAAGTGTTCCAATTTAGGGAACCAGTTGCGTTGATTGGAACAAAATAATAACTTTGCTAAAACAAATTTATTTCCAATAACAGTGCAATCAATTAAGTCAAATTGTGGTTAAAAGTATAGTAGGGATGTCTAATTGTATTAATCAAATCATAAATGTTTTCATAGTTAAGCCATCTTTGGGTAATAAATATTTATTCCTTAAAAGTTCCAATTAAGGCAACTCTCTCCTATATATATATATATATATATATATATATATATATATATATATATATATATATATATATATATATATATATATATATATATATATATATATATATATATATATATATATATATATATATATATATATATATATATATATATAACTTGTTTCAATAGTTTTTATTTCATCTAAGTCTAATATGTTGTTTTTATTTTTTTCTCATAATTTTATTTGTTGAAAGTTTTAACCTGCATAATATTTATATTTAAAATCATTTTTTTGTTTTAGATTTTTAGATTTAGGTTAAAATTGAAATATTTACTGTATTAAGCATCCTATACTTTTTAACTATTTAAAAGTTAAGAAACATTAAAAATGAGATTATTCTTAGGGGCAGATACTATTTTTGATAGAAAAAGAGCTTGTTTATTGCCCAAAACTGGATAGCAGCTTTTTGCACCACAATATTCTTAAACTTTTAGAAATCCTTAAGTGATTACTGCAAATAAAAATAGGTAAAGTTACTGTTATTGGTCTAAAATGATTTTATTTTTTCGCTTGTTGTGCTTTCGTGTGGAGACTTGCTCAAAGTGGTGACTTTTTAATATAAACCTAAAGAATATTTATTGGCTTTCGTACATACATCGTCTATCTCATAGCCTGCTGCTACAAGGGAGTACTGCTACATCCATTATCATTTATACTGCTGCTACAAGGTCGTGCTGCTACATCGACTGAGGATTTAGCATAGAGCAGCAATCTTTTTTCTTTTAGTATTTCAAGTTTCTAATGTTTAAAAATGCTGTGTTTGTTAAGAATTTTGTATTTTTTACCTAGGTTTATCTATTGTTCTTCATGGCCCTTTAGGACAATTATTTTTTGATTTAATTTACACACATGTCTTAAAAAAAAAAGTTAAAAATAAACTCTGGCATTCCGGCCAGAAATATTGTAATTCCGGCCGGAACCGAAATGACCTAAAAGTTACTAATTTCGGCCGGAATTTCAACCGATACGGAATTCCGGTACATCCCTAATAATATGTGTCTAGTTAATTCTTTACCAATCCTTACTATGTAAATTCTTTACCAACCCACACTTTTTAAATTCTTTACGAACCCACACTTTAAATTCTTTACCAATCCACACTTTTTAAATCCTTTTTTTAATTTTTTGAAAATTAAAGAGTGAACATAGCTTTTAAAAAAATTTTTTTTAGGAACAATTACGGGTTTTAATAATTGAATAATAATAATTCAAAATGTAGACATATATCATTTTTAAAAAAATCAATCGGTCGAATCTTTAATTTAACTTGAAAGAAGGTCCTTAAACGTACTCTTCTCCCGTATTTATAAATAAATAAGTAACTATATGGTGGTAGTGTAGCTTTTTTCTTCTAATTCCTTGAGGAGTATTCTACCGTCAAGTACTTGAGATTTCAAAAATTTGGAAATTAAAGGTAAAGTTAGGATTACAAAACATATCTCAATTATAATATGTAGACCTGGTATTTTACTGCAGACCTGATATTTTACGGAAATATCTTTATAGTTTAAATTAATAACCGACTGACGGTAATTTCTTGAAAAGGACGATGGCTGAAATGAGAACCTGAGCTTCTATTGTCATTCTATTGTAATAGTAGACAAGTAATAGTAGCTTTAAACAGGCCACAGCATACGGAGCTCTTTATAAAAAAACTTTGCTTATAAAAAGTTTTTGATTATAAAAGATTCACCACGTGCCACTACTTCATATTGAAAACATACTTACGTTTTCACTTTGATTCTAAATTTCTTTATTTGAATCCTGTGTTTTATTCTAGGAGTCTTTGAAAGTAATTATTTTTTTGCTTTTTTAGGAACATTTTACATTGAACTAATCTATTATAAAATTACTTTGGTAACAAGAAACTTCATGGCTAAAGTCGATTCAACTGAAGATGAAATTTTGAAAGGTATAAAGTATTTGATATTTGTAAGAGTTTTTATAATTTATTACTGCCAAAAAAAATCTTATTTTTTAATTTGATTTTTTACAAAGCGAGCTCTGTAATTAAAGATGAAATAAAAGAAGAGTGTGAAGATAATATCATAAAGCGGCAAGACAAAAGATACACTAAAGTTGAATATACAAACTCCAATAATGTAATTAGTTTACTTTTTTTTTAAAAAATAATTCAGTATAGTCGATTTTAGGTATTGGTGGGTACTTTTTACCAACTAATTTATGACTGAGTAACTTCTCAATTAGTCAGGCTTGGATTGTGAAGAAAAGTTGAGTTAATACTCCTCTCTCTAAAATTATTTTCTACCATAATTACCTTTTTCATTTTTGTTTGTAATTTTGTTATGTTTGCCTTTTAGCCCTTACTTGCATTAATTAATCCCACGCATGAAATTTCAGTTATTTTTATGGAAAAATCTTATTTAAAAAATGCTTGACTGATAAAAAATCGATGCGTATTTAAATAAAGGGATAAAATGCCAGTAGCATTTGAAAAAAAAAAAAAAAAAAAAAAACATTTACTGACGCTATAACAATCGTGAAAACGTCAGTGAAAATTCTATTATATATTTTGTTGAATAATTGTCTGTTGTGTTTTGAATATAAAATATTGATAAATAGCGTAGTTTTATTTAAAACTGTTGAGTATTTACAGACAGTGTGCTTGAACAAAGAAAAAGTATTTTATTGTTTGATTAATTGTTATCGACTAAAGTATTTAACATTTTTAAGTGGTAATACGCGGAGTTTAGTTGCGATTGCGATAATACTTAAAGTTTTTAATATGCGATAATATGCGTAACTTGTACCGTTTAAGGAGGATAAGCTAAGCAATTCCCCCCCCCCCCCCTCTTCCACTATTTTATGCGTGACAGAGCGCTAATAGACAGGGTTAACTGTTGTAATGATATTCGGTGGTTATTACATTATTATATAGATAAAATATTTAATATACTAAATTTTTTTTTTTAAAACACTTAATATTTTTTTTTAATTTTTGATTTACTTTTTGTTTGCGAATTTAGGATTTTTTGGCGTTATTATACAATTAAGGGCTGTCCATTAATTATGTCAACAAACCAGAGACATAAAATTACGACAACATTTGATTACCCTCTCCCACCCATATAAAATTAAAGTGGAATTTTTAAACTCTTGCTTCTCCCCCCCCCCCCCCTCCTTATTTTTTTTTTTGTTGACAGTTAATGGACAGCCCCTTACCAATTTTAATTTTTTTGATTCAAACTTCTTTTAAAAAATTGTGGTTATATAAAACAATTTGATTAAATTGTGGTAATATAAAACAATTTTATATTGGTTTTACGTTTGCGTACAATACTTCATAGACTTTATAATCTTAAAGCTTGCGGCATATCTTGTAAAAATGAATTCTCTTCCGTCTTCATTTTTACCTGACACTTACGATTTAAAGTTTTTTAAGTCTTCGGTCATTTTTTGCTTTCTTCTTTATTTTTTGTTTCCCAACTTAATTAGTGTTTTCAACCTTGTTGGAGGTTGTTTTCGTTTTTTTTTTTTTTTTTTTTTTTTTTTTTTTATGAATAAACTTTGTGTGGAATAAGGTTTTTATCAGTACCAAACGTCAAAGATTTAAGAATTCTAATGAAATATCTACATTGAATGATATTATAAGTAGTGTGTTACGTCGTTTCTTAGTTTTTATTTAAAGTATACTTTAACAATCTGCTTTTTATATCTGCGATACAAAGATCATATCTTCAATAAAAGTAGAAAAAAGAAACAAGAAAAAAAGTTCAAGCCGATTTGGATGAAGCTGTCAATTGAACAGAAAGTTTCATTAAACATCAACAAATCGTCAGCCGAGAACCAAGAGGTTCGCCGAGAACCGTTAAGAGGCCGTATGTCCATTTTTTGTGTTTCCGAGAAAATCAAGTAAAAATTAATTTGTAAAGACTTTCTGCCAGAATGTCCGACTAATTTTTTAAATATTTTAAAAAGTTGTATCATTCTTCGGACACAAAAACACAAAATGTGGACATACGGTCTTTTGGTTCTCGGCTGACGAAAAAAGGTAGTCCAAATAATTTAAATTCTGATCATTATTCTTCTTAATCATCTTTATAATTAGTAATCATATAATACTATATATATATATATATATATATATATATATATATATATATATATATATATCAGTGGCGGATTGAGGTTTAGTGTCGCGGGGGGGGGGGCCAAGTCAATAAATAGGGGCGACCGGGGTTGCCTTCATTAATTTAATCTTATATATTTATATATATAAATTATTTAATTGTTTTAGGGGGCGCTGTTAGACCGTTCTAGGGGGCGTGGGGGGCGAGCTGCCCCCCACGCCCCCTAGAACGGTTAGACCTAGAACGGTCTAACGGCGTATATATATACATATATATATATATATATATATATATATAATATATATATATATATATATATATATATATATATATATATATATATATATATATATATATATATATATATATATATATATAATATAATATAATATAATATAATATATAATATATTATATATTTAGAAAATAGTTTAAGAGTTAGAATTTGTTTGGGCATAAAAAAAAAATAAAAAATAAAAATTATCAGAAGAATCCCGCTCGGTGTCCAAATTTAAAATGATTTTTTCAATGTCTTTGTAATAATGAATTAAAACTGGTAATAATGATAATGTATGCATTTTACAAGAATTTTCTTTTCAAAGACTTTTTATATCTGATTAAATTGATAAAAGTTTTACTCAAAATGTTGTTTTGAGAATAACCAAATAATTTTGAAAAATTAACTTTTGTAACATTTTAAAAGGCAGTCAGTTTGCGAACAACGGTGTCATTTTTTAGTTTTCTTGCATATTTCTATATATTCATATCTTATTTTGTCTCAAAAAGCGTCAGACTGCATGTATTACTTAGCTGTGTAAAGAATTTCAACGTTTTTCAATGTTTCAATTGAAAAACGTTGAAGATGTAAATATATATATAAAAAAGTTTCAAAATGTTTATTTATATGTTTTTTCATGACTGCATAATTTAGAACTCAATTGTTTAAAATGTGATTTTATACGAAAAGTTATAAATTTTTAACAAAAGCCGCTATACCAAACAAACTAAATGTAATTGCTGTCCAATACACTTTAATACTATGAAAAATATTTTTTAATAATCTATTTTTTTTCAATTTTGTTGTATGGGCTGATTTGGCGCTTAACCATCTAAAAGCTTTCATGCATAAAACCAAAACATTTAGTATGTTATTAATTTTAAGCCAATAGCGTAGGTTTTTGGTGATGTCATAAAATGGTTTTGTCTGCATATCAATCTCATAATGACTTGCGCAACATAAAATAATTCTATTTTCAGCACTGCAACCCTTCATTGTTGTTTGCAAAAAATTGCGGTGATCATAACCTGGTAATAAAAGCCAAAAACATTTTGTTTTCGGCGTGACGTCACTTCGTTTTTAATTAACCATCTTGGATAAGGGAAAAATCTGTAGCGTTTTGTTGAGTTTTTTTTATATATAAATGCCAAAAAATTGTTGTTTAGTCGCTGATTTTTCGCTGATATCTTTTAGCTGCTTTGTTTGGTAAACTTGTAGAACATAGTGCTATTGTTAAAGTATGTTTTCTTAACTTCTCGTATAAAAAAGAATAGTTTGTTTTTCCCCAATTTAATATTCTTATAATATAACTTTTGATTTCGCAATACAGTCACGTGATTCCGACTGGATGGATCACAAGTACAAGCTTAAAATCTTTCTTGATTGATTTTTCAAAAGCATTGTAACTCTGTTCGATATAACTTTTTTCTAAAGAAACTGGAGCTGTAACACGGACATTCTGCTCTAGTTTTGAATCTCAAATCAAAACTGAAAAAGAACAAATAATTGTTGAGGGCTCGGAAAAACATTTTTAACTGAGGCTGAATAAAGTAACCTCAGTCCTCTCAGACTAGTTTTTTTGCGACCATTTATATAAATAGTCGCGTTTTACGCAAAACATTTATTGAAAACCATACTCTGACCTTGAAAGTTAATGATAGCCTTGATAAAGAATTTCCAATCTTTCATGGTCTAGAAGTTCATCAGATAAGATTTCAATTCAAAATATAAAAAATAGTCAACATTCAGAGAGCTTAAACAAACTTGCAAAATCTCATTGATTTTGTAGATACTGAAAATATGACATGAGCAGGCGATGAACCTCAGATGTCTTGATTATGAAACGAGTGCTCCCACAGTTGCTCAAACATTTTTATATTCTATATAGTATATAGGATATATACTTTAGATACTCATTGACATTCCCATGGGTAGTGGGTTGGAAGCCCGTCCAAAGCAAGTCATTTAGGGCTCCAAAATCTAAAAGGATTTTTCACTAAATATTACTAAAAAAAAAAGATCCTTAAATTTATAGATACTTACTTTCAGGTATTTTAAATATTCATTGATATGATAGTCAAAAAGGTCTCTTGTCAAATGTTTCAAAGATTTTTTGTTTTCAAAAAATCTTTTATTGATTTATATTGTCCTAGTTCAAACTCATTTTGAATAGACAAATACATTGCTGGTTTTTATTGCCAAAAGAAATTCAGTAATATTCAAAAATATAGCGTTATGTACTATTAATAATCCTCCACTCCCCAACTTGGCTTATTAACATGTACAAATTAACTTGGTCTGAAGTCATCAAATCCTCTTTTTTTCTACAATCTATTACATGATACATCAACAATATTATCATCAGTTGCATTTTCTCTCTTTTCCTTTGCTGCTTCAGACATTAACTCATATTCCACACTTGAAAGTATTATTTTCATTTGACGTACTTGCATTTAAAGTACTTGCATTTAAAGTACTTGCATTTTTCATGCTTTCTGCAAATTAAATCTGATAAAACCTCTATGTTTTTTATATTATTTTGTTCTGTGCTCTTTTGTTCATTTTTGTGATAACATCACAATAAGTTTTGCATACTAATTGAGGTACTATTTTATTAGATTTAATAACTAGGCGACATTCTATTAGATTTAGAAACTTTGTATTGTATTTAACAATATAAACTAAATTTAATGATGAATTGAATAATAAGTAGAAAAGAGGGTTTAAATTCGAATCTGTTTTTGAAATAGTAATATAAGGAAAGTACAAAAAAAAAAAAAAAAAAATTCCATTCTGTAGCTATGGGCGTTGCTATGCAAAAATATTTTACTTAGGTTCAAAATAATAAAAATTTGTGAGATTTTTTCAGATTAAAAATCTGCATCAAGTTTTGTAATTGGTTTAAAAAAATCATCCTATAACAAATTCTAAAGGTAGTTTCACTATATAGTTCAAAATAATGGATATTTAAATAATCCAAAAAAAGTTGCAACTTTCTTTACTATAATGCTCTTCCTCAATTTTGGACAAAAAATATTCAATAACGCTGTAAGAAAAAAAAAAATTGAAAATTCTCTAGTTACAATAAAATAGACATCTCCAGAGATAAGAAGCTATACGATTTAAAAAAGAAAATAACAAAAACAACTAAATCCACATATAGCAGTGTATACATTTAGGAGTAATTTATTCCTCTGTAAAAACTCTCAGCTTAGATACTCGTTAGCCCAGATAGTCTTTTTATAGAATCATTTTTATATGGAGGACATGGGTTGTATATCTGTGTATTTTTTTAATGTTTGTTATGTGGACACTTACTATCCAGTATCAGTTATACCTCCAGTAAAATTTAAAAAGTGATTTAACAGATGCGAATTGTTACAGAGTAATTGCAATTTCTCCCACTTGTTCTAAAATATTTGCAGGTATTTTATTAAAAAAAATTAAATGACACAATGTTGTTGAGTTTTTAGTTTGGTTTCAGGTAAAATCTCTGCACCGTTTCTTGTGCAAACCATTTAAAGAATTTTTATTATTTCTAGAGGAAACCACGTATTTACATTTTTTTAGTTAATTTATCAAGGCTCTTGATAATGTTAACTATTTGCAGTTTTTTTTAATCAGGTCAAGAAATTTGTCTGTTTACGTGCATTTGAGTATAAAAAATAAATGATGTGTTAGATGGATGATGTGTATTAGATTGCAGAAAGCCTATTCTTAAGGTGACTGACATCCTTCTATTTTTATAGGAGGGCGCTGTAAAAGTCTAAATTTTGATTATGTTTGACGCTGCACTCTCCTGCATAAAATAGAGGACAGTGATCAGCTTACTATTCTAATAGTTTTATTACGCCAATTTCATAACATATTTACATTTATGTGTTTGTGTGTGTGTGTGCATATATATATATATATATATATATATATATATATATATATATATATATATATATATATATATATATATATATATAAATATATATATATATACACATATATTTACATATATTTACATATATATATACATATATTTACATGTAAATGCATATATTTACATATATATACATATATTCACATATATATTTTCCTAAACAGCGTTTACAGGGATATTTTATTTTTTACCCTTAAACTACTTAAAATTACTATTTTTTTCATATATCTAATTTTTTAATATTTTATTTTATGTTTATTTTTGTTTATACATATTTAAATTTTACTTATAAAAATATGTTTTTATAAACATTTTTGTAATTTTTATTTTGTTATTATATCATGGTATTTCTTATATATATATATATATATATATATATATATATATATATATATATATATATATATATATATATATATATATATATATATATATATATATATATATATATATATATATATATATATATATATATATTTTCATCTGTTTGCAAAAACAAATAATTTCAGTAATATAACCATATTTATACTTAGCCCAAATCCTGTCCCTAGTTTTGACCCTACTCTGATAATCTGTTTGTCCCCATAAGTTTACTTTTTTTTGTAAATTTGTCCCCATAAATAATACTACATGTATAATGCAAATATGACATTTTGCAGGAAAAGAGTTTGGAGTTTAAAGATTTGATTTGTTTCCATAAATCAAATAATAATGAAAAATGAATATTTATTTTAGATATTTCTGTAAAAACTACAGCAATCATAGTTTGAACAAATGAAAGATCTAACGAAATATAACAAAACTGTATGTTTTTTTAAAAAATGGTTAAGTTTTTTAAAAAAATATAAAAGTTTTTAAATAATTAAGTTTATTAATTTAACTTTTGACAAAGAATTAAATCAAAAACAAGTTGATATCTTTTTAATTTTATATCTAGACTCAAAAAGAAAATGAAGATTTTGAAAAAATGCTTCGATGGAGGAAGGGTATTGGACATTTACAAGGTGTGTAATAATATATAATAAATAAATATTTGGAATTCTAAATAAAAATTAAAGATCCTTAATTGAAAACATTAGGAATAATTTTTTTCATTAATTTATAGGTTATAGTTTATAAACTGTTTATCTAATAAACAATGGACCAAAAAATTATTAAAAAATAATTTTAAAATTATCATGAAAAACATATATATCAAGAAAATATATTTTATCAATCTGTGTTCACAAAAATATGTTAAAAATAATTTTGAAATGAGCTTCAGTTAATCAATTTTTGACCTCAAAACCACAAATTTTTTCAAGTTTTGCTCATTTTTATATTTTTGTAAGATATTTTTATTTGACGCAAATATAGCACAAGTTAGCTTGAACACCAAAAACACCTGAATCCACAAGTGAATCAGGATATTTCTAAATATGTTGTACTATCAAGTGCAATTAATTTCTTTAACATTTAGTTTTTTTTTCATTATCAGTTAATATACATTTATTTACTAAAAAATTTTGTCTTAAAAATTGTAGTATATAGAAAAAAATTGATCATGTAGGGAGCAGTCTAAAGTTTAGAAAGTCTGCAAAAGGCGTTCTAGAAGTCATTACTCCTGATTCTGATGATGATGATGATGTTGATATTGAAGATGACCTCGACCCAGGAGAGAAAAAGTCAAGAAAAAGAAAGTCCATTATGAAAAGTATTTAATATTATATAATATATAACTATATTAGTTTTTTATATATAATTATACATATATTGATTTTTAATACTTAACAAGTTTTAATCCTTACTTTTTTTAGATATAGATGCTCAAATAGAAAACATTGAACCACCACATGATGGTGTAAAGAAAAAATCAAAGAAAAAAAGTATTGACGATGAGTCTGTTTTAAAATGTGAAACATGTGGTTCTTTTGGATTAATTACAGAATTTCGATCTTCTGGTATTAATATCTATATATGTTTACCTGTGTATGTATATATATATATATATATATATATATATATATATGTATATATATATATATATATATATATATATATATATATATATATATATATATATATATATATATATATATAGATGTTAAGGTATATATATATATATATATATATATATATATATATATATATTATATATATATATATATATATATATATATAGATGTTAAGGTATATATATATATATATATATATATATATATATATTATTTATATATATAGATTTTTATATTAGCGTATGTATATATATATATATATATATATATATATATATTATTTATATATATAGATTTTTATATTAGCGTATGTATATATATATATATATATATATATATATATATATATTATATATATATATATATATATATATATATATATATATATATATATATATATATAGATGTTAAGATATATATATATATATATATATATATATATATATATATATATATATATATATATATATATATATATATATATATATATAATTTATATATATAGATTTTAAGGTGTAATGAATCAACTCTAAAGATCATTAACTTTCCTCTCTGTATCTGTGATATGATTGCATTGTCACCATTTTATAGAATCACTTAATAACAGATTTTTTTTTGTTTTTTTAATTTAAACTAAATTAAATTAATTCATAAATTTAAAGTTGTGTTCAAAAGAAGATATATATTTTTCAGACCATAAATACTCTTTTGTTCATGCAAGTAATTGTTTTTTCTTCTTTTCTTCATCCAAATAATTACTTTTTCTTCTTTTGTTTAGATAGTTATAAAACTAGGTTTTGGTTTTTTCTCTAATATCTCTCATTTACTCTTTTGGTTAATCTTATAACTTACTATTATATATATATATATATATATATATATATATATATATATATATATATATATATATATATATATATATATATATATATATATATATATCCATATAGTGTAGTCGAAAGAGCGTTTTAATGTAAAAAAAGTCTCTTTCGACTACAATTTTAATTACCTCGTCTCTTAAGCTGTTTTTGATTGTCGTCGAAATGTCAAAGCAATTAAATTTATGCGGAAGTACATTAAATTTTATTGTTTTTTTAAAAAACCGCAAATATAACGACTAGAAAGTTTTTTTTTATTAGTGGTGTTTTTGTTTTTGTTTTATTAAAAAACATTTTTAAAACATGCGTAAATGTTGATACATTGACTATCTTATAGCCTGACTCGCAACGGAGTGCTGCTACATCGACTGACGAATAGCCTAATTCGCAACGGAGTGCTGCTACATCGACTGACAAATAGCCTGACTCGCAAGGGAGTGCTGCTACATCGACTGATTAATAGCCTGACTCGCAAGGGAGTGCTGCTACATCAACTAAGGGTTTGGTTTGGGCAGGCAGTCTATCATTAAAAAAAAAAAAAATTTAATTTTTTAAACTTTTTCTGGTCTGGTTTATTAACGCGCTCTTAAAACTACAGTTTATGGGAAACTCTTTTTCACTACCATGCAAGAGTATATATATATATATATATATATATATATATATATATATATATATATATATATATATATATATATATATATATATATATATATATATATATATATATATATATATATATATATATATTCACTTCCAACAAGGGTGTAAGCAACCACTATTAGAGTTTATTAGAGTTAGAAGTTTTTGGAAAAGAAAGATGAGGTTGAAGATGGCACAGGAGAAGCTTGCTCTTAAGAGCAGCTTTATAATATTTATAGAAAAGAAAATGAGAAACAATATTACGACAATGTTAGAATGGTTAAATGTTAGTTGCAAGTGCAGGTCCAACTATGTTTACAATACCTTTTTGTAGCTTGCCTAAAGAAGAAAGGCATCATTCGAAGATCCCCATATGACAACAGTATTCCATACAAGGACGGATTTAAGATTTATAGAGATAAAGAATACAATCTAGAGTAAGAAAGTGGCGAGCATGATAAAAAGATGCAACCTTAGCTGATGCTTATTTTGCAATGGATTTGGTATATGGCAAATAGGAGTTAGTGCTAGAAAATGACGGATAGATGGCTCATCAAGTAGATTACCATTCATAAAATGTTTATATATGCATGTATAATGTTGAATGTATACTTAAAATATAGTTTTACTTGTAAAAAATACTTGTAAAAATGTTTTGTTGCAGAAAGTATTTACTTTTTATTAGGTCGGTTTTGTAGCCAAAGATGTGTTGGTGCTTATGCTAGCCGAAAGCGTGCAGAAATGATTGCAGAGCAATTTGCCAAAGGTGAGCGCCAAATTCCCAAAACAGGTAGAAAGTCTGGTAAAAAAACTAGCAAGCACCAGGTAATTTAAGTTTATTTACATTTTTAAAATAATTTTTTTACTTTTAAAAAAAATAAAAATGTTTGATGTTTACTTGTTCTTGATTTATGTTCTTGTTCTTGATTTGAAATTTTAAAAGTTATTTACTACTTTAATTATTCATTTTGTTGTTTATTTTTCAGCTAAGTGGTTTTGATAGAAAGTTATCTTTTATTGAAACAAAAGAAAATAAAGAAAATGTTGAAAAAGATGATTCATACATATATTATTCTACTGGTATAATTTAATAACTTTTGGAAAATTTTCCCACCCCCTTTAGCTTATTAAGACCCCCTTTACCTCCCTCCCTTTTTATTAAAATTAGAAAAAATTATTTTAGTCACCAATAAAAACAAAAACTTTCAGTGTAAACAGGCTTTAAAAATTGTCAATCTAGTAAATCTCGATTTGTCAAAAATTGAGCTTTTGATTTATTTCTCACCAAATTATAAAACTTATATTAGCATATTAAATCTTATTGAAATTATGATAAAACAGTTGTTTTATCAATTTTAATCTAAAAGTCTAAGCACTATCTATATCACAAAAAAACACATTTTATAATAAAACACTTTTTGTGTTTTATTATAAAATACTCTTAAACAAATAAACTGAAAAAAATTCTAAAATTTGAGTTGGGTGAAACTAGTACTAAAGTTTGTAATATTGTAATATTAGTTTGGATTTATAAATTGAGATTTCTTATAAAATATGTTTGGAAGTTTTCATGAACTGACCAAGATAAATATAGTTTAGAAGAAAAAAATGCTTTAGGCATTGTGTTTTTTTGTCTTTTGTGTTCAATATCTTTTGTCATAATGGGATTCTTTTATTCAGTTTTAGTAATTTGATATTTTATTATGCATGAAAGAAAAAATTCCCACCCCTACCTTTTACTTCACCCCTCCCCTCTTTGTATTAAGGACTCAAGTATAAAAGTTTTGTTTGTGTTAAAATTTTATTTTACAAATATTTTTATTTATTTTTAGTTGGATTTAGAAAACCATTTTGTTGGAGTGAATACCTGGAAATTACTAACACAAAGGCAGTTTCACTGAACACTTTTTTAAAGGCATTAGATTTTTAAGTTTTGTTATATTTTTTACAGGGGATGCAAAGTCAATCTTTTTTTGTAACTAGGGTAAAAATAATGAGTTTCAAGACTGCAGAAAATATAATAACTTGAATTTTAAGAATAAGTTGGCACAGATACAGTAAAAGGATGCAGCTTGTCAAATAAGAAGCCAAGCAAGAATGACTTTTGGTTAATCATAATAGAGATGATAGCTCGTTTGAGCATTGACCATGATTAAAGAAACAGCATAAACGAGGAAGGCTAAAGCCTCATGATGATAATGATGATGATGATGATGATGATGATGATGATGATGATAATGATGATGATAATGATGATGATGATAATCATGTTGATCATAATAATTACAATCCTGGTTGCTTACTACTCACTTGTCTCTAGTGAATTATACTTTGATGAAAAATAAAAATAAAAAAAATCATCAGAGGTTTGGTATCTAGTTTGCTAATCATATGTCAGTCAGTTATTTTCTGGTTTGCATTAAATTAATATACATATCATTTAAAATATGTTACAGGTTTATATATACATTATGCTATGTTATAAGTGTGGTAGATCATGAATTTGATAAACTTTGCATATCTTGCAAAGTATTCCATACACATTACATAGATTTGCGCTTCCATTACATAGATTCGTGCTTCCTCTGGTTTATCCAGTGCTTTTAATACAATTATAAGCAAAGTATACAAAAGTAACTTAAGATTTAAAAAATATACAATTTTCAAGCTTGTTTTATTTTACGGAAAACAAATATAAATAAACTCCAAAAAAAGCAACAAAAAAAAGAATAAAAATAGAGGCTTCGAATTATGACTTTGCATCCCTTATTTATAATAATAAATATTAAATTTTTTATCGTAATAAATTGGTAATATTGATATTATAATTAATAACTAATAAAAGTATACAGAACATTTATAGCATTAAAATGCTATAAATGTTGAGGATTTGCTTATAAAATGAGTTTCAAATTTTCATACATAATTCTCAAATTTGCCTGTATAATGTTATATAATAATAGGATGATTCTATAATTATATATGATAATATGATAATTGTATAATAATATATGCAACCGAAATTCAAAATTATGTTTGATGGTTTGGAATTTTTAATTATTGATTCCATTGCAAACAAAGTTGTAGAAACTAAAATCATGAGAAAATGAAGGAATTATAAACTGTATAAATTTATTTGCAAAATCTAAATAAAAAGGCTAGAAAATAATCTTGTTAATAGTTGAAGAATAAAAAAGTTTTTGATTATATAGCAGAGCTTCCAGCATGACAATTCTCAACTAGGTTACATTGATTGGTTATCTCAAAGAAGATGTAATTTTTAACAGGAGCTCCTGTCTATTCCTGTATTAGTATTACATCATTTATTTTTATTTTTAGGAAATAAATAGAAAAAATAAAAATAAATATTGAGTAAAAAAGTGATAAGTATGATTAAGCAACCGATGCTAGTTTTACATGTGTGTATATTGTTTCTATGATTGGTCAGTAGTGGAAGAAAATATAAATTAGAAGAAGATGTGTCTTAGAAGATCTTAGAATCTTAGATGTTAAGTAAGATTATTAATTAAGTCTTTGCAAGAGTGTTGTCATTCATCAATAATACAAGAGTTATGGACTAATAATAATACAACAGTTATTCACTAATTATAATGCAATAAAAAAATCAAAAAGAGGAAGTTGCAAAGTTAGAACCTTAGCAGGTGCTAATTTTGCAATCAATAGTGTATATGTTTTATATGAGCATAAAGTATAGGTCTCAGTAATAATGTTGCCATTCATCAATAGAGGTTAGTAATGAAAGATAATCCAAGAAGATGGAGGTCTCAGTAAGAGGTTGCCATTAATTAATATAAAATCCACAAAATTGCAATAATTATTAGCATTAAATAGCTTAGTTTTACTTGGCTTAAAATTCACCAGCCGCTGTGAAGTTGTCACAGAAGAAAGTTCATATTCAAGATTAACTGCAAGTTAATCTTGAATTTGAACTTTCTTCTTTGACAACTTCATTTAAGCAATGAAAAAGTAATGATGTCAAGATTACAAGAGTATATAGTTGTGTAGTGAATTTTTGTCATCAGCAAAAAAAGTCACTTTAAAGGTTTATCAGGAAAATTATTAATAAGACTTGTTCTATTGTTGTTCTTAAGACTTAATAATTATTAATTAAAATTATTAATAAGACATATTCTTTTGTTGTTCTTGTTGCTTTTTTAGGAGTTTAGAGAGTATTGAAGAGATTTCTGTAGAACACTTCTGAAGAGAAACACTTCTGACTGTGATAGGGATGGTTTCAAGCCAAACGCTGTAGAAGAATTTAAGTGGGAAATAACTTTAGCAACAGAAGCCAAAATGATTAGGATGTTTACATCTAAATGATGTCTAACATGCTCATATTCTACCTGTCATCAGACAAAAAGAGCTTGATAATGATTAGTGATTCCATAAATAGTGACTTTGCAGAATACCTGTTTCTTTGAAGTGCATATGTTAATTACCCTGTAGGCGTTTTTGTTTCATTTGTGACTAGGTTGTGTCACAGCACGCATTATTTGTTGATTGTTTCAAATTGTTTTAATTATGTATAAAAGTATAATCATACTCTTCAAACCAATTGAAAAAGGTCATAAAAATAACCAACTTAGCTCAAAAGTTCCTTCGAATAGATATAGCACAAAAAACTCAAAACTTATTAAAAATGATATCTTCACTACAACCTGAACTTAAAGTATGGTTCAACTTAAATGGGAAAATTATACTTGCCTTTTTTATTGATCCATTTTCCAAAACTAATAATATTAGTTTAAACATGTAGTTTTCCTACGCAAAAAATAACACTTCTATCTCATGAACAAACTCTTTATTCTCAAATTCAAAAACTAAAAAACCTCCTTGCAAAATTTTTTCTCTTCCTTAAATGCTTATCACAATTATTTTCAGAACACCCTCAAAATCTCTTTTAAATGAATAAATAATTTCTATTAGTCCATAATTTTTGGTCATGTGACACTAGCTTGAAGTTTCTAGCACTTTCGACGCGCTAAGATCACAACACACAACAAGCAAAACAAAAAAAATTTTAAATGCTCTGAGAAAAATTGTGATGAATGACACACATCACAATCTTTTTTCAGTGAAAGGTAAATCCTCAGCGAAAAGCTGTTGGACACTGATAAACCATCACCTGTGTCTGTGCACCGGTGATGATTTATTTCCACTTTGTAACACAAATGAAGATAAATAGTTTGCAATATTTGAATGAATACCGAATATTAACCAAGTATTTGTGGCATCTCTAGTAATGATATCTCTTTACAGCAGTAAGAAGTTATCAATCAAGTGTGTTGATAAATGTTTTGTATATTTTAGGAATATGCAGAACAAGATTGCTTTCCTAAAAATGAGTTTCGTCAGACAATGAAGTTAGAATGTGTTGATCCAAAACATCAATCAATTATTTGTGTTGTATCAATTGTGGAAATACAAGGTGCAAGAATGCGCTTGCATTTTGATGGTTGGTCAGAGTGTTATGATTTTTGGATAAATTCTGATTCATATTTTTTACATCCTTGTGGTTGGTGTCAGAAAAATGGTCAAAAGTTAACACCTCCAAGAGGTACATAAATTTTTACTTTTTAAATTTATAAATTGATAAATATAAAATATAAGTTATATATAGCGGAAATATAATTTCCGTTTTGCATTATAGGAAATATTATTATTTGAAATTTTTAATATTTGTTTTCACACAATTGGATGCAGGTATGGACTCAGAAACATTTTGTTGGAAAGATTATCTTTTGTTAACGGGATCTGAAGCTGCTCCAGAAAGTTGTTTTAGAAAGTTGCCTTCTCCTACTCATGGTTTTCAGATAAATATGAAACTAGAGGCAATCGATAGAAAAAATCCTGATCTTGTTTGTGTAGCTTCAGTAAACAATGTTATTGCAGAACATTTTTTGGTTCATTTTGATGAATGGGATGACTCATATGATTATTGGTGTAGAGATGATAGTCCATATATTCACTCAGTTGGTTGGTGTGAAAAAAATGGAGTAACACTAATTCCTCCTACTGGTAAGTATTAAATTTTATAATGCCAAATAGAACAATTAAGTAAAATCTCCTTTTTGTTGTGGTTTTTATTGTTGATTTTTTTAAATAAAAATGATTAATAAATTTAATTTTTTTTTTTAATTGATAACCCACATGAATGATTAATGAGTTTATTTTTTTTTAATTGATAACCCACATGAAATGATTGAGTATTATTTCTTTTTTAATTGCTAACCCACATGAAATGATTGAATTTTTTTAGATGAAATGATTAATAAATTTAAATGGGATGACTACTTAGAACAGACAAAAACAATTGCAGCTCCATCGGAATTATTTAAACTAGTAAATAACATTGAAATTCATTATAATTTTTGATTTAATTATAGACAAAACACTTAAATAATGTATAAGAATTACTTTGAAATTATTTTATAGCGAAAAGAACCAGTTTTTGAAGTTGGCCAAAAACTTGAAGTTGTTGATCCTAGAAACCCTACATTAATTCGCGTGGCAACAGTTTCAGAGTGTGAAGAATATCGTATTAAAATACATTTTGATGGCTGGAGTTCTATTTATGATTACTGGTTTGATACAGATTCTGCAGACCTGCATCCAATTAACTGGTGTAAAAATACTGGCCATATTCTTGAGCCACCTAGATGTAAAGCTTAAGTTATTTTATCTTTTTTTTTAACTTCCTCTCTTTAAAATACTACATTTGATTTTTTTTATTTTATGGTTGATGAGGGAGGTTTGAGGTTATGATAAATTAAAAAAAAAATTTCAAAGTTTAAAAAAAAAAAGATATTTTTCATAGGGTGCTTTATAAAAGATATTCTATCATGAGGGTGCTTATGGTCTTTAATATTTGATTGTAGTAACCATTGAAAAATTTAAGCCTGGTAAAATTTGAGTTAAAGTTAATTATTTGGCTATTAATTTTAATGGTAACTTCTTTTAACAATTTTTCTATTTTTCTATTTTACCATTCTTCTATTTCTTTTTTAAACCGTTTTTCAATTTCTTTAACTATTTAGCAGAGTTTAGATCTTAAATATGTATTGTTTACAACTCTAAATTCATGGTATAAAACATGGTTAATTGGCATACGGAATGTGATTATATATAATAGCTAAAATGTAGTGATAATAATATATAATATATATTATAATATATACAATAAGTGACATAATAATTAGACATAATTAGAAGAGGACAGGTTATTAACAGGAAACATTGTTTAATGTAGTGTTATTTTAATTGATACTAAAACTTTGTTTTCATAACATTTTTACAGTAGGGTCACTATCTAAATTTATTTGAATTCAAAAATAACTGATGGCAATCTTTGTGATAGTGACCATGACTTTGATGATTTTGAATGCTTACTTTAGTTACTTTTAGTGTTGTCATGCTCCTGATATGCTCATAACAATTGTCATCCTCCTGTAACAATTTGTTATTAACTTTGTACAGTAACCATATTCTTTTTTAAATTTTAAATTTTTTTATATTACAGCTGGTTATGAATCTGATATACTTTGTAAAACTATTGGTTGCAGAGGAATTGGACACATAAAAGGTGCCAAATACACTACACATCACACCAGTTTTGGCTGTCCTTACACAATTCAAAATTTAAACAAATCTGCATCACCAGTTATTGATAGACTTGCACCCAATGCAAGCATTGAAGAGAGTTCAATATTAAATCGAATACACAGTAAAAAATTAGGTAAGTTACTTTATAAATAAAATTAAACATTTGTAAATAATATTTAATATTTTTATAAATTACTAATAAATAAGAAGACTAAAGTACTCTTGAGTGCCGAATACAACGGGGGTGGGAATAAACGGGTGGGTGTGAATTTTAGTCAAAATCTAGTAAACGGGGGGGGGGGTTAATAAACGAGGGGGAAAGGGGGAGATTTTTCTGAAATTTAATACATGGGGGGGGGGGCATGTTCAATGCCCCCCTTCCCCACTCCCCCTTTATTCGTCATGCAAATTATGCTTGTTCAATTCAAATGCGCATTTGACTTGCGGTCAAAAGCGCATTTTCTAACAGCTGTTAGGGTAGGGTTAGGCTGTTTTATCATAATTTCAATAAGATTTAATATACTGATATAAGTTTTATACTTTGCAAAGTATAAAACTTATATTCAGCATTTTAAATCCTATAATTAAAACCAAAGATTTGTTTTGAAATAAACTAAAAGTTCATTTTTAGCAAAATCAAGATTTAATAGGTCGATAATTTGTAAAACCTCTTTACACTGAAAGTTTTTGTTTTTATCCGGTGACTGAAAATTATTTTCAAATTTTTAAGGTCAATTTTCTCTGAATTTTTTTTTTACTTTTGAGATATATAATTTTTTTGTTGATAACAAGTAAAAATTAATAAACGGGGGGGGGGGTCTTAATAAGCTTAGGGTGGGTGGCAAAAATATCAAAAAATTAATAAAGGGGAGGGACGTTTATTAGGAACTCGAGAGTAAGTTATAAAAAAAATCATTAAACTTGAAATAAGTTAAAAAAACAAGAAAAACTTCATTTTTATGACCATCTTGTATATTGTGTTTAATGTATTACTAATAATTATGTTCAATATTTAGATTCTTTACCCGATTCAACAACAAGTTCTCACAAACAGTAAATACTTTTTGTATTTATAATATTTATTTTTTTAATTGTTAAGAAAATCTAATAATAATAATAATAATAATAATAATGGTATAAAACAGTCATTATACATCAAAGTACTGAGCTAAGTAATCTTCAACTGATTTAAAAACAATTGGTTCATAATGAACTGCATCCCAAGGTTTCAATACTGTGCCAGTTCCGTCTGGATATGACAAGGACATGGGATATACATCTAGAACATTAAAACCAGATTTGCACATTTGGTATGATGCGAAAGCATTGAATAGCTGTACCCTCTGAAAAAAAATTACTGAAACATTTTAAAAGTTTATGACTCCATATTTATTTAGTTTATTGTATATATATATATATATATATATATATATATATATATATATATATATATATATATATATATATATATATATATATATATATATATATATATATATATATATATATATATATATATATATTACCTGAGTTGTTAAAAATCTGTTGTCATTGCTGAACCTTCCGTTATACTTTGGATCCCCCCATTTCCATTTCTGAAAAGCTGTTGTTGTTTTCCAAATAATGCTTGTTCGGTTTTTTCTTTTCTGTTTTTCTTTTAAAAGATCAATTACAGCATTTAACATAGTTTGAAATTTTTTAAAAGGTATTGTTTGCACAAAATGCAAACCATAATTTAAAAACAGTAAACTATTTTCATCAAGTTTTTCTATGACTTGGCGAAGTTCATTCACTATTCTTTCTATACTAAAGTCTTCATCATTATCTTCGAGCTTTGCTTTTTTTAGATCACCATGTGTGTCATATACCCAGTTGTATGTTCTATTACATGTTGAAAATGTCTTTTTACAAAGTTGTTTATTAATATTAGCTCTGTATAAGAAGTCACCAATTGAATCACCAAAAATCCAAAGAATTCCTTTTCCTTTTTCTTTATGTGTATCTGTTTTTTTTATGAATGGTTCTGTGAAAAAAACAAGTTTTTAAAATTCTGCTTTTAAAAATATTATATTAATGACGAAAAAAATTTTTTTTTCACCTGGTAAGTACATTTTCCATGTTTTGTTGTTAAACCATCGGCCAAAACCATCCCACATATAGCATGATTCTTTTGGATGGAACCATTTTTTCTCTTTAAGTACTGAAATGTTGTGAGAGTAAATAATATGGTTAAATCTACACCCTTTATTCATTACACCCTTCATTCATTACTCCATTTTATTTTTTCAAAATAGTATTTTACTTCTGAAAATGGAGGATTTCTTTTCTACTTGAAAACGTATGATTGACGGAAATTTTTCATCCAAAAATGATCTTTCATTTCCTGATAGTATGTGAGGTGGTTGGTATTTTCCCTGAGCATTGCCTATTGTCGTGAAATTAAAGTCACAATTTTAAATTTTATTAACTTAAGTAATTTTGTTTTAACAAATCAAAACAAAAAAACAAAACTGCTATACCATTAACAAACCAATTTTGAGGTGGATCTTTGAGTCCGTCACACAGTGTATAGTCTAAATGCATGTTAGCATAGTATAGACCAGGATCCATAATTAAAAAAATAGCTTCATAAGAACCGTCTAGCCGATCATGAAGAGTTACAGGTACTGAAGTTTCACCATAAACAAAAACACGCCACACGTCACCTCCAAAAGTTTTCTGATTGTTTGTTAAATCTTTTGAAAATATAACTATCCTGCTGAATTGACCTGCAGGCTGTATATCAAGCGTCACGTGACTAAATTTTACAGATGTATGCATGCGTTTTTTTCTCGAATCGTAATGTGGCATCCATTCTGTTTCATTATTGCACGGCTCTAATATCCTTGTAAAGTTACTCATGTACTCACGTTGTAAAAGCCAATACTTTTTAAAAAATTTATCATTATCTTCTAATGTTACCAACCTTGTTGTGTTTAATGTAACCTGTTTATTTCCATCTGAAGTAAATGTTGGGTTTGTTTTGATACTAGTTGACACATGCCTGTTTTGTATTCTATTTTTTATAGTTTTTATCGTAATATTGTCTCTGTGTTGGATATAAGTATTACTGTTTGAATTTGTATTTATGATACTATAAATAACTATGGCAACCATTATCACGAAAAAAATGCATAATCTTCTAATCATAATTTCAATTAAAAAAAAAAATGAAATTCAATTATTATGGTTTTTAAAAAAATTTTTACACCACGAAGAAATATTTGAACAAAGTTCACCAACACTTCAGCATGATGAAACTTAATGTAATAAGTTGCGCATTTCTTTTGCTTGAGTGTATTATCTTTTATTCTTCAAGTTTTCTGTACCTTTATTACTGTACTTTTGTTTTCGTTTATTCTATGTTACAATTGCTTTTTTTCGGTGGCTGAAAATTTACGACTATTAGATTAAAAATTTTTTAATCGTTTAGTAATTTTGTTCTTTAGTAAGTGCTTTTCAAGGAATAAACTTGTTATTTTCTTCAAGTTCATTATATTTTCTAAAGACAGTTGAGTCACGACATGACGTCAATTTTGTCACGCTCTAACACACTCGTTTTAAGCGATTTCATAAAATATAAAATTTAAAAAAAAAAAATTTAAACCCATAAGTTTAACAAAACATTGTTAAATTTTTTTTAATGTCTCAAATCTAAATATTATAGTTTTTTTTTAATTTTAATTTAGCCCAATCTCTCGTCCGGTTGGTCGTCCAAATAAAGTCTCCCCTACTACTTCAAAGATAACTAAGTCTAAGTATACTTTTTAGAATTCTAAATTTTTAAACAGATATTTTATTAAAAAATAATATTTTAATAAAATAATAATTTTATTAAAAAATAATTATAAATTAACAATTACTATTATGTTAAAAAATGATAATCAATAGGTCCGGTTTAAATTTAATAAAAAAAAAAATTATATTATTTTCAGGACATTTAAAAGCAAGAAAAGAAGGGGAAGTGACGAAGTATCATCTTGTAAGTATACTAAAAAATTTCATTTAAACTCACGTACTGCATTTTAGGCGTTTTTTCTCCTTTCTAATCAACAAGCAAATGAAATAATCGAAATTATTTTTAACGCGCGATTGAATTAAATTTTGTAAATAATCTCCTATTGGTTTTAATATTGGCGTAGTTTTTGTTAATATAAAGTAAATAATTTGCATTTCTTTTGAAAAGCTTTTCCATGAATAATTTTTTTTTTTTGAAATAAATGCTATATTTTTGGTTGCTTTACTTAGAAAAGTTTCTAAATCTATAATAATTCTGAAAATATAAATTTTCTATTTTAGCTACGCCTTGTTTAAATGATACTCCTTTAAGTCAGGCGTCCTCTCTAAGTAAAACACCTACTTTTAATCAAACCTCTGATATTAATCATACGCATGATACAAGTTATAGTAGTACGTTCTCCATAAAGCCTCATACTAAACCTATTTCATCAACGCACATTCCTGCTGGTCACCCTCACATTTTAACTAATCAGTGTAGAAGTTCTGCTTTAACATGGAGCCAAGAAGACGTTGCCCATTTTCTAAATAAATTAGGATTTCAAGATCTTGTAAAGCCTTTCAAAGAAAATGTAATTTTTATTTCTTTGTAATATCCATTTATTGTACTGATTTTTTTTTTTTGTTTCTTCAAACGCTGGGTTTGTTTAATTTATTTCTTTAGGAAATCGATGGTCAAGCGTTGTTACTATTAAGTCAAGCAGATATGGTACGTCATTTAAAGTTAAAGTTAGGTCCTGCTTTGAAAATTTATAGCGAGATATCCAAACTTTAATATACGATTCAAATAGCAAAAATATTTAAAGTATTCACGTTGACATTTATGCCGAGAATATTATATAGTTTTAATACAGAAATTTATTTTTTAATTTATAAAATATTTATATTCTTCGAATTGTGTTCGAATTATGTTTTGTACAGATTTTAATATAACCTTTTCTTTTTCTTGGAATGTTTGTTTAAAAATTCGAATGAAAAAGTATGGGAATGCAACTTTTCTGCTGGTAGCTGAAAAAAAATTTTTTTTTTAATTACTTTCGTATTCATTTAATTTTTATTTGCTGGAAATCGTGGGATGAAAAGTTTTCTTTTTTTCAAACATTTTATAACATTTTTGCTCATATATATATATATATATATATATATATATATATATATATATATATATATATATATATATATATATATATATATATATATATATATATATATATATATGTATGTATATATATATATATATTTATTTATAAATAAGATGTTTTAATTTATATACAATTAACAACACCATTTATGCAAAATTTTCGAGGAGTTGGGAAGAATGGCGCAAAATGAAAAATTAAACAATGGCAACGCTTCTATATGTTAAACTTAATAATGGCACCGCTTCTACATGTTAAAAACGATTACTACTAGAGCTTTTTTTTAAAGACTTATTTTTGATATCATGGTCTGAAAGGGTGGAAATTAGTGTTTTTTTCCTTTTTTCTTTTTTTTTCTTTTTTTTTTTAACACTATATTTGCCGTTAAAAAACACAATACCTTTTAAGAAAAGAGTGTTTTTTTTTATGTATTTGGTAATTTTTATCTACAAAATGTTTTCTTGAGTTAGGGTGAATGTAGAGTGCTGATTTGAGTACACCCTATTATCAAAAACAATTCACTTTTATAAATATTTTTATCTTTATTAAAAAGGAATCGATTAAGATCAAAACTTGAAATTACAACATACACAAGCGACGCGCAGTGAAAAGTAAACGGCAAAAATCGTATAACAATCATAAAAAAACATCTGATCAATACTATCGTATATTGGGTAAAAACAATTTAAATTTGCTATTATAATAAGTTGTACGCGTATTGCGCTAACTGTTGTAACCGCTGTAACTGTCATTTACAGCGGCCGTTGCGCACTGTTTAAAGCGCTTGCTTTAGAAGCAAGAGATCCGGACATATTTCGCGCCATTGGTATGGAAGAAAGTGTGAACTTCCTAATTAAATGCTCTTCCGCGGTGCTCTGTTTGTTGGGCACCTACAACATCGACAATTACAAAAAAATGAAAATTACAAGTGCAAGACAAATTAATTTTAAAAAAATAAATTCCTTGATTTAAAATGCTACTTCTGTTATACCAGCTAAAGTCTCAGCATTTTTAAATGCCCTTCTGGCAGTGTTCCCATCATTATGATTGGGCATGTCAACAACAGGCTTAGCTTCTCTTTAAACCTCTTTTGAGTTTTTTCATTTTCTAAATGTAAAATACATTCAAAAGATCTGAGCCAACAATGCAGAGTAGAAAAGCCTAAAGATAAAGTTTTTCATTGATTGGTTCAGACTTGATCAATGTTTATTAAGTTAATAAGTTCTCTGGACTTAGGTTTACAAACATTAAACAATCGGGAGGACAGAGTGTTAGTGACTTTACCATCAAACATGGTTAAGTCTAGTTTAAAATTAAATGTGATAGGTGTATCAGGTTTGCTTTCTTCTGCTTCTAACTTTACCTCAAACTTGACTAGTCTATTCATTTTTGCTTTAAAAAGTTCATATTCTATATAGATATTAGAGACGTACGGGTCTACTGTAATGTGTACTAGAGGGTTTTTTTTATTAACCATACATTTTCCTTATGGTGGTTAACTTAGGTTGAACAATAACTGTCTGAAAAAGACATTGCTCGTTAACTTCGGCCTCGCCAATATCTGTATCAGTGTATCAGTATACTTTTGACACACTTTGACTGTATAACAATGAATTTGTAATAATTTGATACTGTTTATCAGAAAGATCGCACTGAATTTTTAAGCTCAAGGTATCTTCGATTTTCATAGGAAAACTTATCTCCGTACTTTAAACTTTATCAGGATTTGTAGCATTTTTCATAGGAAAACTTATCTCCGTACTTTAAACTTTATCAGGATTTGTAGCATTTTTCATGAGAAAACTTATCTCCGTACTTTAAACTTTATCAGGATTTGTAGCATTTTTCATAGGAAAACTTATCTCCGTACTTTAAACTTTATCAGGATTTGTAGCATGAGAATAACCTATTTGCTAGAATCTCTAGTTGTTTTTTTATTGAAGCTAATGTCAAATCTTCAGCAGGACGTTCAGCCAATTTATTGAAGCTAATGTCAAATCTTCAGCAGGATGTTCAGCCAATTTATTGAAGCTAATGTCAAATCTTCAGCAGGATGTTCAGCCAATTTATTGAAGCTAATGTCAAATCTTCAGCAGGATATTCAGCCAATTTGGCAACCTTAAACAAGACATATCGCGACGTTAGAATTATCTTGTGCTATCTCCATGTTTTTGCAAACTGAGAAAATCGATGTCAAAGTTTGAATATGTTCGCAGCTAAATTGAAAAAATATTTTGAGAATTTAGGTATTTCCTAAGATTTAAAAATGTTTTATTATTAATTTTTAGATAAAAAAAACTTTTTAAAATTACGCTAACGCCCTTTTTTTCGCACCCTCTTTTGGAGATAGAACAAAATAACTTTGGTTTTTAGTAAAATTCAAAAATATTATGTTGTTACATCATATATATTAAACATATTAAGTACATTTTTCAACAACAACATGTTAGAAATTGATGAAATTTTGTTCTACCTGCTAATTATTCTTACGCAGTACCATACACTCCTAATTTATGGGCATGGGCCCCTAATTTAACAAGACCCTTTTCAAAATATAAGACGCTTTTTGTATTACCTAAAAAATTAAGTTTTTTTAAATAAAATGAGGCCCTAATTAGGAGAACTTTTAGAAGAGCCTCTAACGACACTGTTCTTACGACTTACATTTACTTTAATTACCTGTAGGCGCCGGCCCTGGACAAGACTAAGACGTCTAATTTAAAACGGAAAATTTGGCTGCGTAATAATAATATAAACGTATTAATATAATATAAACGTATAAAATAAATTATGAAAGGTATATAGGAAAGAGTTATGTTAAAAAAAATGTAATAATAAAAGAAATAACATTATGTAACTATCTGATAATTCACAACAATTCAACTAATCTAATCACAAACTCCATGCAAGATGAACTTGATTTTATTTTTCTTATGCCTGTGTATCCATTAATAGAGTTTAACTTTTTATTAAAAGTTATTGCAAATATTTACAAATAAAAAATTGTTACTCAAGTTAACGTCAGGAAGGGCATCAGGTTGTGAAACATTGCTTTAACTCTTTCATAGTGGCCTTTATGTCACTATGGAAAACCATCCAAACCAAACAAGTGGGGGAAAATGAATATAAAAGTACAAAAAAACAAACAAAAAAAACACAAGCTAAACAAAAATTTTTATCAAGATTTCAAAATAATATTATTTCAATGTGTTTTATATTATATTTATACTAAATAAATATTTTATTTAAATATGTTATTTATATGTATATTATTTATATTATTATATATATATAAATATGTTATTTATATTTATACTAAACATATAACAACCCTAAAAATATTTTGACTTTATTAATGTTTTGTAAATGTTCAATTTATTATTGTTTTATAAAATGCAATATCAACAGCAGGCATGTATGAATACATGGAAATGATATCATTGGCTTTTGCAACAGATATAGACTGATAAGAAGCACGAAAGCAAGCTGCCATTGGTATATTGGTATTTAATGGTTTTGCAACAATGGTTGATGCTGCTTTCTTAACAGACTTATTTATACGAGCTTGTGAATAATTATCTGAAAACGAGGTTTTAAAAAAAACATGGTATGGCAGTCCGTTTCGATAAACAAGATTTTTAACCTTTGAATAAGGCACTAACTTATAACTTGACAAACCAGCGACAACTGAAAAATTCTTTACATCTCCTAATTGCATTTGGTAAACACAGAAAGGTTTTTTACGGTTTACATTTTTAATAGCTCTTTCTAGCCCAAGTGGACTAAATATTTCTGCAGCAGAGAGGGATTTTTCAATCTGACAATGAATGTTGTCACATTCTTGAATGCTGGAATGACCTGGCTCGCAGAACTTCTGTTCAATTACTTTTATTTGTGGGTATCGTATTATAAATTCACACAAAGCTGCTGACATGAAACTATTGCGGTTTTGTGGTACACATGAATCGAACCAAAGTATGAACTTATTTATGTCAAGGTCAGCCATGATTTTCAAAAGCAAACATGTTACAGCACTGGCTAGATCATTTCCTCCACGACCAGTCATGGCTTCGTGCCAAAGGATGCAATAACCCTTCCTGTTAAGCGAGCAATGACCAGTTAAGTTATAATTTGAAAGTTTTCGTTTGTAATAAAAGTTTCCCACATTAGCTCTAGGCAAATTTAAAACATTTTCAAGGTCAATACAAACAATTGCAGTTTTAGAATCAACATTTTGGCGATCATTTTCACGTTCAGTTTTGGTATCATTCCTTGATTTTATGTGCTTATTATAACTATCTGTTTGTTCATTGCTTGCATTAACAATGTTGCGATACTCATAGCATGTGTCACATAAATCTTTCTTCGGTTTTTGAAATTCTATATTGAACTCGTGATTAAAGATATAACGATACATATGTTCTTTTGCTGGAGGAGAGACATTTTCATCACAATATATTTTATAAAGATCATACATTATACCTATATTTAGTGATCCTTCCATGTATTCTTTATGTGTCTTTTTCCTGCTATAATGAGCATCAATTCTTGGGAAAAGGTTAATATGGTCTCGTACAACTTGTTTAGACTCTTCTAGTAACCTTTTTTTAACATGTTTCCCTGATTTTGATTGCAACGGTGTTCCAGTAGTTAAAGATTTATTAAACTTATGAAAGTAAAACACTCTATGGCTGCTAATATTCAATGTTGAAAGATAATATGATTTACAAACTCTATATTGTGTATTAGAAACAAAAAAGCTATAATAATAAGATGTTTTTCTTCTTGAATTGTCACCAGCAGCTGTCCGACA